GAAAGAAAGGAGGAAGGGATAGTGGGAGGAAAGGAGGAAAGACAGGAGGAGGAAATGAAATAGGCAGGAAGGAAGGAGGGAGGGAGGGAAGGAGGGAAGGAGGGAAGGAAGGAAGAAGGAAAGGAAGGAAGGAAGAAAGAAAGGAAAGGTAGAAGAAAGGGAGGGAAGAAGGAAGGCAGGAGATAGGGGAGGAGCAGGGAGAGGAAGAGAGGAGGAGAAAGGGAGGAGGAAAAGGAGGGAGAGAGAGGAAGAAAGAAAGAAAGGAGGAAGGGATAGTGGGAGAAAAGGAGGAAAGACCGAAGGAGGAAATGAAAAGGAGGGAGGGAGGAAAGGAGGGAAGGAGGGAAGAAGGGAAGGAAGGAAGAAGGAAAGGAAGGAAGGAAGAAAGAAAGGAAAGGTAGAAGAGAGGGAGGGAAGAAGGAAGGCAGGAGATAGGGGAGGAGCAGGGAGAGGAAGAGAGGATGGAGGAAGGGAGGAGGAAAAGGAGGGAGAGAAAGGAAGAAAGAAAGAAAGAAAGGAGGAAGGGATAGCAGGAGAAAAGGAGGAAAGAAAGAAGGAGGAAGGGACGAAGGGAACCAGGGAGGAAGGGGGAAAGAAGGAGGGAAGGAGGATGAAGGAGAGAGGGAAGGAAGAAAGAAGGGAGGAAGGGAGGAAAGAAGATAGGAAGGAAGGAGGGAGAGAAGGAGCAAAGAGAGAGTGAGGAAGGAAGAACAGAGGGAGGGAGGAAGAAATGGAGGGAGAGAGTGGAAGAAAGAAAGAAAGGAGGAAGGGATAGTGGGAGGAAAGGAGGAAAGAAAGGAGGAAATGAAATAGGCAGGAAGGAAAGAGGGAGGGAGTAAAGGAAGAAAGAAAGGAAGGAAAGGTAGAAGGGAGAGGGGAAGGAGGGAGGGAGGAAGGAAGGAAGAAAGGAAGGAAAGGTAGAAGGGAGGGATGGAAGAAGGAAACTGGGAGAGAGAAGGAGCAGGGAGAGGAAGGGAGGACAGAGGGAGGATGAAAAGGAGGGAGAGAAAGAAAGAAAGGAAGGAAGGAGGAAGGGACAGCAGGAGGAAAGGAGAAAAGAAAGAAGGAAGAGAGGAAAGAAAATAGGAAGGGAGGAAAGAAAGAAAGATGGAAGCACGACGGGAAAGAGAGAGAGAGAGGCAGGCAGGCATGAGCTGAGAGACTCTGTTCTAGGGATTCATTACTTGGCCCCTGGTTCCTAAGGCCATCTCTCTCTCTCTCTCTCTCCCTCCCTCCCTCTCTCTCCCTCTCTCCCTCTCCCATTACCAAAAACTCTCTAAACTCCACATTCCTCTCATCTGCCCCTCCCCAGGTCTGCCTCAAAGCCCCGGACCGGGTACCTACAGCCCGGAGAAGAAGCTAGGAGGGCCCAGCCTTCAGCCGAGGGCCCCCTCCTTCTCCATAGCTGCCCGCACCAAATCCCGCCCGGTGGACCTCGTTCCATCTCCCAACAGCTACCTCCTCCCCTCGCTGCTCAGGGCACGGACTCCCAGTAGACCCTCCAAGCCCACCCGGGCCCTCCCCGCCAGGAATGCGAAAAGCAGAGCTTCCAAGGACCCTGGCCAAGCGCCAGGCCCGGCCAGCTACAACCCTCAGGCATCTTCCGCCTGCTTCTGCCGACCCCCAGCTTTCTCCATGCTGAAGAGGCTCCAGAAACCCCCCAGAGCCTTCCAGACTCCGGGGCCAGGAGCCCACAGCCCAGAAAAAGTGACCGTCCACAAGACAGGGGCGCCTTCATACTCTTTCGGGGTCCGACACTCGGAATATCTCATGCCATTCATCCCGGATGCTCCAGAGTGGTAGGGCAACTGAACAGCGTGGCCCTTCTGGAGCACTTAATTTTTTTCTTTTAAAAGAAAATTATTCCTCATGAATTCTTGATTATTAATTACCTTAATTCAATTTTTTTTTACAAAACTAATGCAAATTAATAGAGAGTAAAAGCAGGAGAAAAGAGAAAAGAAAAGAAAAGAGAAAAGAGAATTAATTATTAGCCAAGTGTGATTGGGCACACAAGGAATATGTCTTTGGTGCATAAACTCTCAGTGTACATAAAAAGGCATGAAGGAGAGAAGGGAAAGGAGAGGAGGAAGGAAGGAAGGAGAGAAGAAAGGAGGGAAGGAAGGAGAGAAGGAGAGAAGAAAGGAGGGAAAGGGAGGAGGGAAGGAAGGAGAGAAGGAGAAGAAATGAGGGAATGAAGGAGAGAAGAAAGGTGGGAAGGAAGGAGGAAAGGAAGGAGAGAAGGAGAGAAGAAAGGAGGGAAGGTAGGAGGGAAGGAGAGAAGAAAGGAGGGAAGGAAGGAGGGAAGGAAGGAGGGAAGGAAGGAGGGAAGGAAGGAGGGAAGGAAGGAGAGAAGGAGAGAAGAAAGGAGGGAAGGA